AACTTTAGAAATACTTCATCTACGAATTAGTTTTCTGATGAAATTGGATTAATACAAGAGTCAGTTTTGTAAACGTGAGATGACTGTATACATATAGGCTTAGGTGGTCCTATTTTTAGTAACAAAAAACTTCTGACTGCACCAAGTTTCGATTATGAGTGTTTAGAATGAATTCATATTCATGTTGGCACATAAGACATCTATATATACACTTTGGATAACACGCGATGTATCAAGGATTAATCATATTGTAAAAAGTCAAGTATGAATCATTAAATATACACTAAGTTGATATCTCACCAGAAAGATGCATGCTATAAATACTGAAGGAAGTGGCCAAGGTGTATTAGTTCAAGAAGTTATGGTCGAGCATCAGGAAGGGAGCTGAAATCTTTGGAATAGACTGAAATATAAGCAAGCATGAAGTATTGAAATGTCGGAAATGTGATAACAATATTCATTAGGATAAGTTACCAAGTAGTATTGTATACCAAAATGTGGTTGATAAATACGTTCTTTTACTTTGTCACTGAACTATGGTTAATTGTTGCGATTCAACTCAGTTAACTCGTACAGCTATAAACCTAGATAACGCAATTCTGACACCGTTAAAATAAAAACAATTGAACTAATAGTATAAATTTAATAAGTTGTGTATTATTTCTGTAGGAAATAATAATAATATTGAAATTCAACTTACATACAATTCAGTTAATTTAATAGAAAGCAAAGAAATATAATTGGCAACAAATACACCCACCCAGATAACTGTAAAATGAGATACATGAATATAGAAATACAAATCAGTGCATATAAGAATGAAATTGCGACAAGCCAGCCCACATGAGTAAAGAATTATGGCAAGCTAGGTCACGTGAGGATATAATTATGGCAAGCTAGGCCACATGAGTAAAGAAGTATGGCAAGCTAGGTCACGTGATAATAGAATTGTGGCAAACTAGGTCACGTGATAATAGAATTGTGGCAAGCTAGGCCACGTGAGGATAGAAATGTGGCAAGCTAGGCCACGTGAGGATGCTTATCATAATTCCAATTTTGCATCCATGTGGCCTGGATGACTACATTTCTATCCTCACGTGGCCTAGCTTGCCACAATTCCTAGGCCACGTGAGGATGGAATTGTGGCAAGCTAAGCCACGTGAGGATTTCGAAGGATTTATTGTTTCATCTTTAATATATGTACTATTCAGTACGTAGTTAACTGTACCGTTTTCAGTTTATTCCATAATATTGGAGGTTCTTAGTTTAAGTCAATATTAGAATTAATTACAATAGTCAGAGCATTAGATTCGTAGAGTTTGGGCTTTAGTTAGTTTATTTCGTTCCTATCTTGACATTTATTTTTCTCTTTAACTTGAACATTTGTCGTGAAGCTTCTTTTATCTTCAATGTATTTTCACTATCAGAGGGCTGCTGTTCGATATAACGATTCCAGATATTTCCCCCAATTTAATACTCTTTTATCCACTTATAAGTTTGGATCAATACCATATGTCCAATGGTATCCAACCAGGATCCCATAATAGTCGTGATCAATCCTGTTAGTGCTAATCTTAAGAAGTACTTTATGTGTGCTTGTGTCGTTAGAGCTAATCTTAAAATTTTCCTAGTGCGTGTGTTTGTATCCTACAGTTTTCCTTGTAATCTGCCTTACTTACAATGAGTGACTAATGTGAATACCCAGCAACCAAGTGTGTAATTCACAACAATATTGACCTTATTTTTGTAGCTAATTCAATAATGTAGAAACATATGCTATGTATTTATACCTAGATAACATAGAATTATTTTATTTTAAAAGGGAAAATAGCTGCAAAACATTTCACAATGAATTTCATTGTAGTCCTCGCATATTAAAAAAAATATAATTTCGTCTAAGACCAACGTTTTACGAATGAAACAACTGTATTATGGATCAGATAGTGTAGCTACAGTTTAACATATAATCTAATACTTGTATTGCATTTAGTGTATGTCTCTATGGATTTCTTGTTTCAGAGTTTGCACGAAATTAACCAATTCCCTATATTTTTTGTTTAAATCCTTTCGCCCTGTAAGTAGGTTAACTAAGACACTTTGAGGAGATGTTATGGACATGGTTTAAGGAATCTATGAAGACTATAGGTGTT